ATGGACAAATTAGCTAGAATTCCAGATGATGAAGAGATCAGAAAAACTATTTTCAAAATGGGCAGGTTTAAGGCTCCATGCCCAGATGGTTTGAATGCAGCCTTTTTTCAAACTCAGTGGCACATAGTTGGCAGATATGAGTGTGAGCTGATCAAGAGTATTTTTGTTGAGCCTATGAAGGTGCAGCTAGTTAACAAAACACATATTTGTTTGATTCCAAAGAAGGATAACCCTGAATGCATGAAAAAGTTTAGACCCATCAACCTGTGTAATGTTTCTTATAAAATTGTTACTAAGGTGATTGCTGATAGATTGAGAAAATGGATGCCTAATTGGGTTACTCCTAATCAATGTGCATTTGTGAAAGGTAGACATAGTGCTGACAACATTCTAGTGGCTCAGGAAATTATTCACTAGATGAGAAGGAAGAAAGGCAAACAGGGATGGATGATGATTAAAGTTGATTTGGATAAAGCTTATGATAGGCTTAACGAGGAATTCATTCATGAGACTCTCCAAGACATGGGGCTACCAAATGATCTAATTTCCTTAATTGATAAGTGTGTAGGTACCAGTGAGCTTAACATGCTTTGGAATGGGCAGCCCATTAGGTACTTCAAACCTTCTTGTGGAATTAGGCAAGGGGATCCCTTATCCCCTTATCTATTTGTCCTGTGTGTGGAAAGGCTTGCCCAGCTAATCCAAGTAGCTACTGAGGTGAAAGCTTGGAAACCAATTTCTTTGGGAAAGAAAGGCCCTCCCATCTACCATTTATTTTTTGCTGATGAGATCATTTTATGTGCTGAAGCTTCCATTGATCAAGCTCATGTCATCAACCAAATTCTTAAAGCCTTTGTTATGAGTTCTGGTTAGAGAATCAGTAAGGAAAACTCGGGTATTCTGTTCTAAAAATGTTAGTTTTGGAAGAGCTAAGGAGATAAGTGATTGCCTTGGTATTGGAATCACTCCAAATTTGGGGAAATATTTGGGAGTGCTGTTGAATCATTCTAGAGTTAATAGAGCTACTTTTTGAAATGTCATGGATAGAGTTAAAAATAGGCTGAATGCTTGGAATGCAAAATCCTTATCTTTAGTTGGGAGGCTAACCTTAGCCAAATCAGTGCTATTTGCTTTGCCTACCTATGCTATGCAAACTGCCTGGCTGCCTAAAGTTGTTTGTGATGATGTAGAGAAGCATACTCGTGGCTTTATTTGGGGATCTTCTAAGGAAAGGAGAGGCATTCATCTTGTTAAATGGGAGAGAATGTGCTCTGCCAAACAATATGGTGGTGTTGGGTTGAGGGACTTAAGAAATTTTAATCAAGCCTTTGTCATGAAAGTGGGGTATGGACTTTTGGCTAATAAAGATGCTTTGTGGGCCAGAGTCTTGAGGAATAAATACAAGCAAGAGGATGGATTATTACCTCAGATCTCGAATCCTGGTAATGCTAGTAATATATGGAAGGGCATTTGCTCATCTTGGAATAATTTTTTTGGAGGGACTGGGATTTTACTTGGGAATGGTAGACAAACTAGATTCTGGTATGATAGCTGGGTCCCTAGTCTTGGCAAGCTTATTGAAAAAGTCATTGCCCCTATTCCTGAAGAAGTTAGCCTTTGGGAAGTTGCTTTCTGTGTGAATCAAGATAGGGAGTAGGATTATGACAAGTTTAATAGATATCTCCCTGTAGATGTTTGTGAAGCTATAGCTAAGATTGAGCCACCTAAGGAGGAAGAGGGTGCTGATAGAGTTATTTGGAGTCATTCAAGTAATGGGGTTCTTTTTGTGAAGTCAGCATATCAGGCTATTGACAATGATCTGTCTGATATGCAGAATCAGAATCAGTGGTGGAATCTGGCATGAAATTGGAGGTGACCAGAAAGGACTAAGCATTTCTTATGGCTTCTTTTAGAGAGCAATTTACTAACTAATGAGCAAAGATCCCATAGACATATGGGAGGTGAGGCTCACTATTTTAGATGTCATTACCCTTGTGAAGACTGCAGCCATGTGGTGAGGGATTGTTACTGGGCTAAACAGGTGTGGAGCTGTCTTATTCATAAGTCCAGGTATAATTCATTTTTTTCTGGTAGTTTTGTGGGCTGGATTCATATTAATCTGAAGAAAGGAAAGGATAATAATCAAGACTAGACATGGAAACTTACTTTTGGAGTCACATGTTGGACGTTGTGGCAATCAAGAAATAATTTCGTGTTTAAGAAGGAAGTGTGTTCCCCTGAGTCTGTTTGTCATAGGATCGGGATCTATGTTCAAAATGTAATTCATGATGAGGCAACTCTTGATGAGGCTGCTATTATTTCGAAGCAGAGGGAAGAAATTAGAGTTCAGTGGACTCCTCCTTTAAAGGGATGGATCAAAATAATTTTTGATGATGCTTGTTCTATTGATGGAGTCCAAAGTAGTTGTGGGGGAGTCTTAAGGAATAGTGATGGGAAATGGTTGTTGGGCTATATGAAGAAAGTGGGGCAAGGCAATGCTCTGAAGGCTGAACTCTGGGGAGCTTTGGTAGGTCTCCAGGTTGCTTGGGACCATGGGTTTAGACAGATCCACATGGAAGGAGATTCAACCGAAGCGATTCAATTGATTCAAGAAGGAAGTGCAGCTGATCATCCCCTTTGCTCGTTGGTTATAGAATCTAAGAGATGGTTGCAAAACCATGGAGGGTTATGTTTTGGGGTGTAAATGGGCTGGGCTGAGCTTTGGCCATCCTGGCCCAAGCCTATGTCAAAAAAAATTCAGCCTATCTGGTCTACTGGCCTATTAAAGGCTTTATTTGTAGGCCAAGCCCAGCCCATTTTCAAAAATAAGAAAGCCTGACATGGCCTACAGGCCTTGTAGGCCTCCCACTATATATACTAAGCAAAAAAAAAAAATGTATAGAGCAAAGAAAGTTCCATTTATGCATGAACTAGTACTTCTTATAAGAAAAAAATGACAAACAAGAAAGAGTCAACATAATACCTCAGCTCTAGAATGTATATCATAGAGGAATAGAGTCAAAGAAATGAGAAAAATAAGAAAAATACAATTACTGGATGCTGAAATAAAGTCTACAAGAGAATGTCATTCATATAAAAATCTTTAAACCACCATCAAGACAAGAGAAAGAAGAGTATTATTGAAAGATCTTCATCAGTAACATCATAATCCAGCAAGGTACCCATTGTTCCATGGTATTAAGCTGCAACAACATGTAAAATTTGGAGACATTAAACAAGTTTTCCTTTCATAAAATAAAATAGCACAAAAAATAAGAGATATTGGTATTTGGTACATTGTGTCTTTGCCACATAAAATAAATATTATTTTATTATTTTATTTTAATAAATTAAATAGGCCAGCCTACAAGGCTGTAGGTCGGGCTTGACAAAATTGGCCTATGCCCTATTTATTAAATTTTTTTTTATAAGCCTAAGCCTACTCTACTTTTCTGAAAGGTCGGGCCTGTGCTGGGCTCAATGTAGGCCGGGTCGTAGGCTGGGCTGGGCCAGCCTGGCCCATTTACACCCCTAGTTATGTTCTCTCATATAAACAGGGAAGGAAATGAAGTAGCTAACTGGATGGCTACTAAGGTGGACCAAAGATCTTGGGATGTAGTTATTGTTCCTAATATTCCCCTAAATTGTAGGATGTTGGTAGAGAAGGATCTGTTGGGGGTTAGAGCTTTCAACAGTCTTTAGGTAGTTTCTGTTTGTTTGTTTTTTCCTGATATCCAAAAAAAAAAAGATTAGGATCTAATGATATTGGAGAGTAATAGGCAAAGGTAGGTAGAAAAAAAGCAGGTAGAATAACCTATCCCCTATTTTAATAGTTTAGAAGAAAAAAAAATCGACTTTTGGTGTCTCTGAAATTCAAAATAGATTCAGTTCGTCAAAATTGTGGTCTCTAAAATTCAAATAAGACTCACATTAGTCCCTCAAAAGGATTAACATGAATTTATTTTGAATTTCAAATAGATCACAAGTCGATTTTTTTAATAGATTAAATTGAGTCTCATGATATTTGTTGAGGACCCAAAAATACTTTACTAAAAGAAAGGAAAAAATGTGTGTCCTTTTAAAGAACATAATCTTAGGTCTTTCTAAGAGAGATAAATATAAAGATGTGAGTTATACGGTAAAAAAATAAAATTAGAGGTATAATTTCACTTCTTTAGGTCTATCTCTATCTTAAAAAGATTTAAGTTTTTGTTATTTTAAAAAAACACATAATTTTCACACACACAAAAAATACAGTCTTTCAATAGTACAAGTCAAATAAATACAAGTTAACCACAAGTAAAGTGCATCAATTAGTAACTCGAGGTGTAGTTCAGTTGATTAGGGTGCTGAGCTTCAAGAGTCGGAGTCGTGAGTCTAAAGTTTGAATCCTGCTTGGGGCCAGTGGAGAAAGTCGTACCCTTCAATTCACACTAGGAATTAGTCTCACTCCGAAGAAGTGGGGATACCCTTGAATTTACTTAAAAAAAAGTGCATCAACTAGTAAGGGTTATTGTTGCAACTATTTTTCACTGTTATATTTCTTATTATTTTGTTATGGGAATTATTTTTCACATTTAATATGAGATAAAATAATTTTCCTTGTTATCAAAAAAAAAAAAATTTATTTTCCTATACATACATATAGAAGAGAGACAAAAAAATTATAAATGAAAAAAACATAAATAAATCTCAGCATATTATATATGTAAAGAAAAATTGTTTTGTCCCGTATTAAATGAGAAAACAGTTCCACTTTTGTTATTTAAAACAAAAATAATTAATGTAAGAAAGATGTAATATTTACTTGAAAATGAAACTATAGCTTCACGTATCTGGTTTATTATAAGCGTGTTCTAATGAATCTAATATATAGGTCATCCTTCAAGTGAACAGAAGATGCAATTCACGTATACAACATTGAGAATCATAGATATATAGAATATTCACGGAAACCCGGTGTGAGAGAGAGAGAGAGAGAGAGAGAGAGAGTGGCAGCAATGTCTGGTGTGTGGGTTTTTGACAAGAAAGGAGTGGCAAGGCTCATAACCAACCCAACAAGGGAATCCTTCGAGCAGAAGCACCCACCACATCCTGGTGGCACAGCCACCGCTCCCGGCGCCCGACCAAGAGTCCTCATTTACCTCCCAACCAACCAGGTCATTCGTTCCTACACCGAACTCGAACACCGACTCACCGAACTCGGTTGGACTCGCTACCGTAACTCGCCCCCCTCAGACCTCATCCAGTTTCATCGCTCCGACACCTCCACACACCTCATCTCCCTCCCCAAAAACTTCGCCAACTTTAAGCACTTTCACATGTACGACATCGTCGTTAAAAATCGCTCTTTCTTTCAAGTTCGTGACCCCACTACGTTATACGAAGCCTAAGCCTCCTATTGTCATTGTAATTATCATGTGTACGCCAACTCCATCCCCACCCTACCATGCATTTTCTTAATTTTTTTTTTTTTTTTTTTTTTGTCTATGCTTCTTCCTTGGTTCATCATGTCATCGAAATATTATTAAACTTAGGCACATTTCATTTCCTTGTATTATTGAACGACTAATTGTTTTAATTTGTGGAGTAACTTTTTTTAATATTCCCTTTCTTTCTTTTTCTGGTTTATGTATTAATTATGTATTATTGGTGAACATTGTATCTACATGCATAATTAGTTACCTAAAACCCTAATGTACTAGTCATTAATGAACCAAACGTCCATTTTTTTTGTGTGACCATCCCACCGATCAAGACCAACTAGGCTATAACTAGATAGTTAAGGTTGATGAGTTGGAATTGAACCAGTGGCGGAGCCGTAAATAAAGTGAACTGTTGTGTCTTTTTATTATAGGATCATGTAGTAGGGATTTATATGCGTTGCTATGCTTTCGTTGATAGTGAAACGGCGATGCGTTGTAAAAAGCTGAAATAGATGATGCAACATTGTAGATATGATGGTGGCACTCCTGACTCAACCTCCCTCCAAGGCTGCTACGTTAGTGTACTTTTGTACTATCTTATATCTTTGTATCAGAGAGATCATTTGGGTCTATAAAGGCTAGTAAAAAGTGAAGGCTCTATTGTATCATAGATAGTCATAGAGCTAGCTAAGTATCATTTTCAAGGATGAGGCGTGAAGGAATGCCGATAGAGGAAGTTTTTTAATTTTTTTTTTTCTACGCACATTATTTATGGACTCATTGTTCTTATCGAGAAAATTTTACTTTCGTCTCTTAAAAAAAAGAAAATTTTTATTTCATTTGCAATTTCAGTTCTTTAAGAATATAGTTTTCTGAAGATTCAATTTAATCCTTAAAAAAAGGCTTAATATGTGTTTTTTTTTTTTTTTTTTGTAAAAAATGAAACTGAAGATCATATTTTTGGTTAGGGATTCAAAATAAATTTGATTCAATTAATATATCGGAAAGGTGTTTTCTTTTATTAAAAAGAGAAAAAATTTAGAATTTAAAGTAGAATATAAAAAAAAATATGGATAAAAAAGGAAAAAGAATTCCTTTTAATAAAAATGAACAACGAGTTCAATGCAGAACATTGAAATTTTTCTCGTTCGTAGGAGTTGGTCAAACTGTGCAGACTGAAGAGCACTGCAATTGGAACAAAACTTCAGTATGTACAATTGATAAACAGGAGTTATTTTTAATTTATTTTTGTTAAAATATGTAGGCGCATAAATTTTTAGGACCTCATAATCCATCAACGTATTCGGTGCAGATTTTTTCCCGAAATTGAGTGGTCCCCGTTTTTATGAGTAATAAAGGCAGGTAACTTTATTTTTTCTGGGATTGATGGCACACTGGCATGGTAGTTTTCGGGGAATGAGAGAGATTTGCAACGACAGAGTACGAAAACTGAGAAAGTTCACACCTTCTGATTAGACACGACGAGTACTGGACAAGGATGTCACAACCCTACCACGTCGTACCAATGATTCCTGATTCCAAATGATAATAACTGCATTATAAATAATTAATAAGAATCGATGATTCTGAATTCTTTTAATTATTTTAATTTTAATCTTACCAGTTGATACAATTAAATATGAAATTTATCCATACAAGTTCATAGCATTTGAATCACTCCCAATTTCTACATATTATCCATAAGTCATCCCACTGCAGGTTAGGGTATGAATTTAATTTTGTATTTATTTTATAAAATATCGTGATTAATGCATAGAAAAATGCTTGACACACTTGCCACCCATACTTGCGCATAACATGAGAATATTAATATTTAATTTGTATTTATTTTATAAAATATCGTGATTATTTATTTTATAAAATAATGGACTAAATGTATACACATTAATTTGATTTGGGATTAAAATGTTTTATAGTTGAAATTTTATTAAGAGAATCTTTTATAAAAATAGTACCTTCCAAAAAAATTTAGTCAGAGCTATACCCGCTAGCTCCAAATATAGGACCATTATGTGATGAACAAATCTCTTAAAACTTAAAAGCGTATATTATTAATTAAAAGCGTAATTTATTAAGTAAAAGTGTGATAAATAACTCTTAAGCTTTAAATTATTAAGAGAAATCGATAACACCATAATTTTTAATTACTTAATTTTTAAAATCTTTCTACTAAATTAAGAATTAACTTAGGTTCAAAAATATTTTTTATATATGAATAAAAATAAAATATTATAAAATGAGCTAAAGAATAATCAATGTGACATATGATTGAGAATATTTAATATTTGCTCAAGTTATGAATAGAGGAACACATTTTCCATAATATGGTAGTATATACTATTGCCACTCACAATTAAACACATATATTTAACAAGTATTTTTCTCTCTTACATATTACTGTATTAGTATTGGAGTTTGATTTTTATTGAAGATATATATATGAAAAAGTGGATGACATAAGAGTATTGTAAAAATTTTCTGAATTGAGAGTGATATTAAGGACAAGTATTTCATACGGGTACACTAAATCACAACTATCATATTTAAATACTTGAGCATAATTAAATTATTAGTTTTGATATCACTGTTAAGTCACTAGGAGAGTTTATGAATTTATTCATTTGCAAGGGGTAGTTGTGTGTTGCAAGTTGTCTCATATATTTAATCAAATTAAAAAATTATTTATGAAACAGTACACTACATAAAACTATAGTGTATAAATACATAAATTATAATATATTAACCATTGGTGGCACAGTTTAATTTTAAAAAAAATAGTTTATCCCTTCTTTTTCGTTGTTTGAAATAAAACCAATTTATTAAAAATAGAATGCTTGAAGTTTCCACTAACTTTCCTATTTCCCTTCATGGACACTTATTTCAATTAACTCTTTGATTCTTACCACAGATAAGATGATGGAATAAATATTTGAATCGAATATTGAAGTCCATTAAATCTGTGTTTTTTCTTTTCATGTAATTTGAGTAAGGGAATCCATCTTGATCTTATCCACTACCTAGACTCACTCAGCAATAAGCAAATAACTAAATAACAAAAAATAAAATAATGACTTCTAACATTCATTTTCTCTTAAAATTGGTAATATCACTAATTGAGTCTTCTTCCAAATTTATATTCCCATCTCTATCACTTTCCTTTATTATGACGTAGATTAAGAGAACCTTTGCACATCTATGTTCTAGAGCGTAGGTCTTGTTGCGCTCTGGAAAACACAATCTCTTATGCCTTTGATTTTCTTCGAACACTATTTTGGACTCATCGGATGGCATTGACCAATCGTCTCAATTGACCATCCAGCAAGGCTAGAACATGTACCACTTGAGGACACTTGGACCCTCATTATACAAATTTTCTTCATGCATCCTACACACGTGAGATTTCCATATTAGGAGTCATGCACTCTCACATCATCATGGAGTTCACAGGGCTAAAAATGGTTATGATATCACATTTTTCTTGCTTTAAGAGACTCTTCTTCGGTCTACAAATTTTGGATCACACCTCTAGATGAAGCATCTTATTCTCCGTAGTTTATCATTCTTAATCTTGAATCCATCCCTAATCATACTAGTCGTGAAATGATGAATCAATTGGAATATTTTCAAAATAAAATTCCCTACTTTTTGACAAGTTCAAACACCAATCTATTAGGATATTCAAATGTGATCATGAGAACCACATTAGTTGATAATGGACTAGTGGCGGAGATTGGTGGGCTAAGTTAGATTAGTCGCACTGAGTGGATCTGATATCATGTCACAACCCAAAACTTTAAGATATTGGGTTGATGGGTCCATCCACTTATATTCACTTCACTTTGCTCATTACCAATCAATATAAAATTCATCACACTTAAATAACTCAACACAATCGATAAATTGAAATAACTAGATATGGAGAATGATTCAAAAAGTATATATGGTGATTGTGGATCTCGGAGTCTTGCACACCTAATAGTGGCTAATGCCTAACAGAGAAACGGTGCATGCTAGGTAATTATCTTGGTTGTTTGTGGAGCTCTCTCCCATGTGCCCAGCGTATGAGGTGGTCAGGACTAGCGATGTGCATGGATCGAATCGAACCGAACCGAATTTTTTAAAAAATTGAACCGAATTGGTTTAAATAGTTCGGTTTAGAACTGATTCAGCTCGATTTAAAACTGGTTCGGGTCAGTTCGAAACCGGTTCAGGTCGACCCTATTTTGAAAAAAAAATTAAAAATTATAAAAATTAATTTGGTTCGGTTTGAAAATGATTCGGTTCGGTTCGGAAATGTTTCGGTTCGGTTCAAAATGATTCGGTTCTTAAATTAGTTCTAAAAATCGGTTCAGTTAATGAACTGGTTCTTTAAAAACCAGTTATTTTAAGGGCGGTTCGGTTCAATTTTTTAATTATTTTGCACGTCCTTAACTAGTACGTTTAAATAGTTGGACAACATAGGGCCTCGACGGTGGTTTCCAGTTTCTCCATGCCTGGCTAAGGATTTGAGTTTAATTGAGAGAACTCTCAGTGCACAAGTGTTTGAATATTTTTCTTCATAAATTTTATTCAACACAAGAACAATTTTAAATAAGTAATGTACAATAGAAATATAAAATCACCATCTCCCATTAAAAAAATAGAAAATAATTAATCCTATCCCACTCAACAAATAACAAAATAATTAAATAACACTAACAAAATAATGACACCTAACATTCTTTCTTTATCGTTGTTGTTATTAGTTAATTTAGGGTGCTTTCTTACTGGTGCAGCTAATATTTCGAGATTTTCAACATACAGCATCTTGCTGGATGAGGATTTTAATGCCAAGTTTAGGCAAGGACCCTCGTTGCTAAGATATATTTCACCTTTTTCATTGCTTAATGGGTCAAATGTATGGTAGGCGAGAGGTGGATAGGAACCCAGAAAGAATTGTGAACAAAAGCTTTTGGAGTAGGTAAGGCCTCATAGTTCTGATCCTCTGAAGTTTCACGCTATTTTAGACCCACGACTTGAAGGACAGTATTGCCTCGTATCAGTTCAAAAATTCGCAATCCTAGCAAACAAGTGTCTCGTGAAGCAGCCAAAAGTCCCCTCATAAAATGAGTGTGGTTTGAGTCCCTCTAGCTGTTGTAGCAATTGGGTGAGAAAATGACGTAAAGTTGTCTGTTGGGGTCCTGAACCTGACCTGACCCGGCTAAACACAGGATTTGAACTTTGAAGAATGCTTTTGCCTTCCGAAGAATGAAGGAATGTTTGGAGTATAGTTTCTTCAATCTACCCCGAGTTTAACGAAGTCTAGTGAAATCTTGGATTGGATAAAGAGAAAATGAGTCCTAAGTTCAGCTCTAGCTCACTGATGGTTTTTGCTTTAGTTTGTATATTCTTTTCAACTTAACATAATATAATTTAAAAAACAACTAATTGACCCAAAGTTTGTTAATCATATTTCATAAACCATCAATTGATCAAAGATTCTTCAAAAAAAAAAAAAAATTCGGCACGCAAAACGAATCTCTATAACATAACACAATCACTTTTCCTACAACATAACTCTTATAAAACCCTTTACTAAAATGGATAATTTTTTTTTCACTTTAACCCTTATTATTTTATTTTATTTTTATAATTTTCTTTATATCCTTTCAAATTTTTCTCATTTAATAAAGGGGAGTTCGGTACACCTGTTGTATTAAAAAAATATCCAATGAAAGCCACCGTGTCAGATATTTTAGTTTTCTTGAAGCCATTTAGGTACGCAAGTTTACAAAATGTTCTCCTTTTCCTATTTTAGCATGTTTGGTGCACAGTATATGATAAACCTAATATTATAAGATTTGATTGTATAAGACTTGATTAAATTTTAAAATTATCTAGCGTTTGACATGGTATTGTATAAGATAATACCATTCAGTATTTGATAATGCACTGTACAATACTAGATAGAATAAAAATAAATATTTTTAACAAAAATGCCCTTCAATAAATAATTTACATAATTCTTCCAAATATATCACATGATATTAATTTTTATAAAAATATATTGATCAGTGTGTCCAAAAAATATATTAACTTTTATAAAAATAAATTGTTTCAATATTTTTAAAATTAATATAATAAAAAAAATTATTTTAATATATTAATTTTTGAGAATTGCACTGGTCAGCAATGCTAATCCATCAACCTCTTATCAGGTCTAATCTCACTCCCTTAAGCTTGATTAAGTTATACATCATTATGATGTAGTAAGGGATTATGCTGTATAAGCTTATATTATACTATGTTTAACCAAACAGCTTAAAATATCATAAACTTATAATATAAATTTATACTATCAAACCTTATACATTACACCAATCAGTCCTGAGTTATGAAAATATGATGTATTGGTCTGTGTACCCCGTTTACAATAAATGATAACAAGTACACATTTGTGTGTTTGCTTTTATTCGAACATGTAACAATGAGGGAAAGGCGGTTCGCATCAGGGCCGAACCAGCAAGAAGCAAGGCCTGCTGTGTTTAAATACTTTTTTAGTGCATACATATTCAAAATAACAAAATAATTTATTAAAAATAGAGTGTATTTTATTTTGGGTTTAGTGTTCATTATCTTTGTAATTCCAAAATGATTGGGACCACGTTGTTTTGGATTTTTTTCCATGAGAAATATTTTATTTTTCCCTTTTATTTTAGTTGAAAGGAAAAACAAATTTTATATCTTGAAAAGCAAGACATACTGCATCAAAAATAAAATTTTATAGCCATATTAGTTAGTTAAAGTGTTGCAAGTTATATAGTGTCCTCTGGGAGCAAAGAATTGAAATTGAGGAAACACGGGTTTCAAATTCGTTTCATTTGTCAACCAATTTCTATGACGGTCAAAGCTAGGAAGCTTCGAGAGTGCGTCCAAAATTGATTTAAGTGATCATGAGTCATGAATTAAAAAGAGTCATCACCCTAGTGGCCTTTGTCTGGAAAACAAAAGTCAAGATTGCTATCCATTATTCACCTTTAAAATGGAATCAATAAGTACAAGTTTGACAATTTCATCGCCAAGTAGCAATTGAAAAAAAAAAGGTACTGCTTGGGTCGACAACAATTCCAAGGGATCCAATTAATAAATATAAGTTTAAACATTCTGCACCGTCATCTTTAATTTTATTCTAGTGGGGCAGGGTTCTACTTCAGGACAGGACAAGGATTGAGAGATATTACTCAAGTGATCATGAAATCGGGTCATAAAATATATGTTTTTTTTCTTTTCTTTTCTTTTCTTTGGTGAGCAAGCCTTTCATAACGACCTGCAGGCTACATGTGAATGTTCTCTCCTCAAATTGATTCGTATCATATTCCAAAACAAATTCTACTGTTGTTTTTTTGACACAACGAAAAAAAATTAATAGCCAAAATTATGTTCACATTTACAAGAAAGAAAGCATGAAAGAATCGAAACAAATAGAATAGAGCATCAGCCTTTAAATGTATTTGGTAAGTAGGATGTGGAAGCCGCATATGGCAACAAAATGTTACAAAATAGATTAGGAAACCACACCACCCCAATATAGACTAGAACAAAACTGCGCTAACAAGAGCTATCATACAAAAGTACATGCCTTCCCAGCTAGTTTTAGTTGTTACAAACACTAGACAGAACTCAAAAATGCCAGTATGAAGTCTGGTTCTGAATATATTAGCTGAAATATGATATGTACAGTCTATTAGCTACAGAGGTACCTGAGTTGTCATGGAGGAGACCACCACGCATGATGTTTTAAGATTCGGCTTTGTTAAGTTTCAAGGTTGTGTATTTTTGCAAATGTCATGTATAGAGAGGGGATGCAGATGGCCGGGGATAAGCTGTAGGGGCCCTTCCACAGGTAGTACCATCATCAGCACTTCTTCTGCGAACACGAGAGCCATTAGCAGAAGGATTTTGATTAGGAACATGCAACTGCTCCAAAGTTGTAACAACTTCATCCATGTTGGGCCTGAACTTGGATTCTGTTGATAGGCATCTCAAAGCAAGGGTGGCTGCCTTGTAGGCTTCTTCTGTTGAATACTGCCCTTCGAGACGGCTGTCCAACACCCGGAAAATCTTACGTTTGTTAGCAAGGTAGGGTCTAGCCCATTCCACCAAATTTTGTTGTCCAGATGGTCTATTCTTGTCAACTGCCCGCTTGCCAGATAACATTTCCAGCAGGACAACCCCAAAACTATACACATCACTCTTGGTAGTAAGATGACCTACAGTAACAATGTTTCTAGCCATTAACCAAGAAAGGTATTAACCTGAAGCTAGAATAATTTAACAAACTTAGAACAGGAGGAAAAACATGAAACATAAATGGTCCAGCAACATGAACCCAACAATACCTGTGGCTAGATATTCAGGAGCTGCATATCCGTAGGTTCCCATAACCCGGGTGGAGACATGGCTTTTGTCACCAGTTGGTCCATCCTTTGCCAGCCCAAAATCAGAGAGCTTTGCATTATATTTCTGTGATCAAATCAAGAAATATATTTAGGATTATCAGATATGCTATTCAAATAATTTCCTACATTCATCAAACTTGATTCTTTCATCATATTAAAGTCCACATACTGAATCCAGCAAGACATTTGAAGTCTTAAAATCTCTATATATCACTTTTGTTTCAGCACTGTGCAGAAATGCAAGCCCTTTGGCAGCATCAAGAGCAACCTTTAAACGGAGGCTCCAAGAAAGAGGTTGGAAATATGAGCCTCCTGTTACAAGAATATTGCCAATGTAAAATAAACTTGTCAGGTTAAAATAAAACTATGTGAAAAGATGGGAAGGGACAGGAAGAACTCACTCCTGAACAAATGATTCTCCAAGCTTCCACGAGGCATAAATTCATAAACGAGAAGGCGGTGTTCATCTTCAAGGCAATAACCAATCAACCTCACTAGATGAGGATGAGAAAACTGTCCAAGAAAGTTAACTTCAGCCTAAAAATGAAATCAGAAACACAGTGAGGCAAACATGTATTGTCTGTACCACTACCACCGAAAATAAACTCCTCTTAATTTTCCAACCATAAGTAATATTGTTTTTCATCATTATTATTATTGAAATTGTAACAGGCTAAAATGTAGTGATGTAAACTAAATCGGTGTAGCTTAGTATGAGCAAAGGGTTTAAAGAAGCAGATTAAACTAACCAACCACTCCCTGTGACCCTGATAGCTCTCTTGATTAAGTCTCTTCACAGCAATAACAATGCCAGTACCAGGTCTGGCAGCCGCCAATGAATTCTCATCAATCCACCCCTTAAAAACTGATCCAAAACCACCTTCTCCTAACACACTGTCTGGACGGAAATTTCTAGTGGCTGTCTTAAGTTCTGCTAAAGTAAAGCTCTTTAAATTGGATGACTGCAAGATATCACCCTCACTCCGAGTAGTCTGAGACACTGAGACAGCCGAACCTTTACTGTTTGTGCTGCTGAGATCATTTCCATCATTACTCACATTCTTTGAATTTAAACCTGCCAAACCGAATGATATCCATTACAGTTAAACTTTCACCAATATGATATCATATCAACTGTAACATTCACTCCGCTATCCAATTGGATCTTCAATCATGTCAATACAATGTAATGGATCACATTTACAGAGAAAAAAAATTCACAGTCTCAAGTTTAAGCTTAAGACTACAACGAGATAAGACCACAGAGGAAGTACTTGTCAACATCTTGGGAAGAATTAAATTAGCAATAAAAGCATCAAAACATGGTAATGGTCTAATGGAACTATGTAAATATTAAAATTGAGAAACCAGAATTCTCTGAAAGCATTTACCAAATCAAATTTCTCTGAAACCAAAGGTGGGGAAAGGAAAGGGCTGAACTTGGATGAAACAAAAGGAAAGTGTGAATACCCAAAAGCAATCAAAACAAAAGCACAACGATCCAAACTCAAATGAATGGCATGCACAACATTAAGGGGTCGTGGGAAAAAGTAAGAGAATTCAGGAATATACCTGTGTTATAATATGGGCTTTCAGCTTTAATTTGGGCGCTCAAACAAGCTCCCATGTTGTGTGGAAGCCTTGTTGCCTACTCTACAGATCCCAATCACAAAAACAGAAAACACAAGATCCAACAGAACTGCATAAACCATTAAACTTGAATTCAATACAGAGAAAGAAAAGGAAAAAAAGAAGATCTGAGGTTATGCAGTGAACCTGACTCCAAAAAAGGAAGGGGAGAGAGAGAGAGATAAGGGGGACCCTTAATTTGGGGAAAGAAGATTGGATGGGATTAGTAAATAGAAGAGAGTGAGAGAGTTGAAAATGAAGAAGGAAAGAAGGTGGGTGTGGTCACTCCAGTGGCATTCATGGTATGTCCCAATGGACCCCCTTTTCTCTTTCTATTGGTTTCCATAACAATCACAACCTTAGATCCTCCAATGCTATTGCAAATACCAAACCTCCTTCTCTTATCTCTTAGTAAACACAACCCTTTGTTGCTAATATTTGTATTTGCATGTTGCATCTCCCTCCCTTCACATTTACGCATTAGCTAGCAGCTAACTACCAAATTTACGGTCCTATTCGTCTTTTTTCATTTACTTTCTAATGCTCTTTTCTATCTTATTTCCATTGTATTATTCATCTCTATATTCTAGCACCCTCTCCCTTGTGCTTTTACCATTTTGACTTGTACTGTTGACCGTAAAATACTTACCCGGGAGAAGGAGAAGATGCCAATCTAATCTTCTTACCGGAGTCTTCTAAATTAGAGAATCAAAGTCATATTGTTGCTAAAAAAAATAAATCAATAATAATAATAATATAAGTTAGATGGATTCGCTATCATGTTGTAATCAAGAGAATAATGTCTCTTTGACTAAATTGATTTTAATTATGTTGAATCCTACTATTATTTAATATACGCCAAACGATTCTTCTTTTGCTTTTAATATAAATTTGTCTATGACTATGATTTCATACGGTTAAGTTTTGGATTGACCGTATTGCTATACCGTATGGTATGCGCTCAGAGATAGTGTATATCAGGTGTATACTAGGCTTATAGCCGAGGTCCCAATCATTGCGCACAAGCAATAGACTAATAGCCAATGGATGGGTGTGTGCACAGTGTGGGCAGTATCAGTAAATAGGTTCAAAGTGTGTATCTGGGGTTCTTAAGCTCTTATTTATAAGGATTATCTTCCTAGGCTTGGGCCTTTTGAGCTCCCCATATTGCATTAGGGTTCAGCTCCCTTTCTGTTGGGATGTGATCCTTATCTTGTGCCCTTTGACTGTTTAGTGTTGTTGAGATATTCATAATCTACCTCTTAGTAGATTCTTAGGTGAGTAGTTGGGATATGATATTCATATCCATAACAGTTGCCCCCCAGCTCGGTATTCTGAGGCTTGGAATGCGAGGTGTTTGCTATGTCATCTCGGATTTGATTCACCCGAGTTCACTCGTTTCGGTATTGCGCCTTCGAAAGTTCAGGTCCACCACACTACTCGGAATCACTTTTGCCGGGGTCGTTCGCGTGATGCTTTTCGATCTTCCTTGGTATCGTATGTTGAGATCGGTTTCTAACATGTCGGATTCGTCACGAGTCCGTCTTATGCCTTCAGGCATTGTTTGTTCCGAGTTTCGCCTCAGTAATGTCGGGCCGAATTGAAGTTCTTGGTCATGTTACGACTTTCGGCTGCGACCTCGTGGCCGAGCTCATTTTTTGACCTGCGACATTAAGGCGAGTTTGGAGCTCGGAGCGTGAAGTTTGATCTTATCGCATTAGCTTGACCTTTCGTTTCAGGCCCTGCTAAGACGGTTACCACGATCCACGTGTTCCACATCTGTTGGCAGTTTTTGCATCGTGCAGCGCGCCACCCTGACTGTGTGCAGGTCATGATTGTGCTTATTAAATGTATGCAGGGGTGATTTTACCATTTGGCCCCTAACTGCTCAACTGTTTGGGGTCTTTTCATCTTCGCGCCTGTGGCTCATTTCCCTTTAAATGCCATTTTTCAAAATAGTATAGGAGTTTTCTCCTGGCATTGTCTTCATCAAGTGTTTTCCTCTCTTTGCTGTTCTTGGAGGTTCTCATTGAGTTCGTTCGCGTCTTCTCTAGCTATTTCATCGTTGCTTCATTCACCTTTTATTCAGGTACTCCTTTCTTCCCTCCTAGTTTTTGCTCAACTTTTGGCTCAGTTATCGCTTGTATTTTATTTTGGTTTGAGCTGGGATTAGGTGAGTGGAGGGAGGATTCAGTTGTTTCCTTTGAGTCTTCGTTCGAGACTTTTGAGGGAGTTTGCCTGTAATTTGAGGATTTGACTATGAGTACTCCCAACCTTTCTTCGGGTCCGGCATCTGGCCGAGGTGGTGAGGATGACGAAGAAATGTTGAAACGACTGCCTCGATCTGTGCAGTGTTGGTTTTATGGGAGAGAGTACACCGAGGAGGAGAAGCTTCAACAGCTTCTCCGCGGTCCTCGAGGGGGTCGCCAGAGTTTCCGAGGTGGACGCAGTAGAAGAGGTCGGATAGGAGGGGGTCATCAACCTCAGCTTGACTTCGGAATTAGTGGTCCTTCTTTAGCCTCGAATCCTTCGACGGGTGGGTTGAACGTTTCTCCTAACCCGATTCCTTTATCCTACATTCTACCGTTATCTCAGGTCGCCCATGGTCTGAGGTCTGTTTTAGGTCAGATTCCTCCCCTTCAGCTGGATGATAGCTCTTCCAGCCTTTCTTCATCTGAGTTGGGTTTTCCAGAGTCGCATTCGCCTTCTGTTTTTGGCAATTCAGCTTTAAGTCAGATGCCATTTATCGATCTAGTCAGTAGTTCTGATAGCTCCATACCGTTTTCATGGAGTCCGCGCTCGTTGCCATCCAATCTCGAAAATCCGAGATCGAATTTGGCTGATTTTTATACTGATCCTCATCCTTTGTGTTCCAGGACCATAGCTATGGAAGATTCTGACGTCCAAAATTAGGTTCTTCTTGAGATTCTTCACATGCGATCTACGATGTCTCCTGCCGACGTAGCCCAACTTTCAGTTGGGGACCCTAGTGAGGTAGATATGCTCCCAGCAGGTGATCATCCGGTGTGTGTGGGTCCTATCTTGGACGAGCCCCATTTCTTTTACTTTTACTGGGATCTGATTACCAAGTTAGGGATTCGGTTTCCCTTCACCGAGTTCCAGAAGACCGTGATTCGTAGACTTCGGATTGCACCTTCGCAACTGCATCCCAACTCCTAGGCTTTCATCCGGGGTTTCGAGCAAGTGTGTGCATACCTCTGTCTTCCTTGTACAGTTTGCCTTTTCTTCTATTTCTTTGATGTATATACAGCCCGGACCGGGACCGAGGCGAAGGAAAGGAAAGGTTGGGTTACCCTTCGAGGTGCTCCGAACCGGGGTATTTTTATCCTCTATTCCCAATCTTTCAAAGATTTTAAGGACGCCTACTTCAGGGTAGTGGCTCGGTCTGACTGCCTCCCCTGGTTTGCCTCGTCTTGGTTAGACGGAGGGGATTTGGCAGGTCGGTTTGAGCTTTATTGGACGCAAAATCATTATCAGCGGCTTCCTAAAGACTACGCTACTCCAGGAGTAGCTTTTTTCGATTCGGAGAGGCTGGCAGCGTCCGTCTTGATTGGTTATGCCCGCGAGTACGACATTATCGATTTGAGTCGGATTGTAAATAAATTTGGAGAGGATCTCCTTTGTGAACTTGGTATGTGATTCTCCTTTATAACCTATTTCCGACATATCTCATGATTTGGATTCTAATCTTGGACTCTTTTTTGCAGTTAGTATGACGAGTGTTGGATACAAAAAATTTTTGCCCAAGAAGTCAGGAAGGAGGAAGGCCAAAGAAGTCTCCTCTGCTGATACCGAGGTCCCGAAGAGACGGCGGGTTGGTGCCATTCTTGGCAGTAGCTCGGCGGGTGGTGAGGTGATTATGATCGACGTTTCTTCTTCTTCCTCCTCGCCGCTTCCTTCTCCTTCCACCGCTCCTCAAGGGACCCTGATTACTCTAGAGCCTGGGGAGTTGTGGAGGGTCGGGGTTTCTGACCGGCTTAGAGCCTCCATGAAGCCTCCTCCGGAGCTCATTGGTGGCTCGGGCTTAACTTCTACCTTGAGGGCCCTGGTGGTGCGTTTGGAGGAGGACTCATTGAAGGCCACCTCTTTACTTCAAACCTTCCAGGATCTCAATCAGAGGCTCGACTTGTCGGCGGCCTCCAACTCGTCCCTCACAATTGAGGTAGGGGAACTGAGCAAATCTAAGTCCGATCTGGAGATCAGGGTTCCCGAGTTGTGCTCCGAGCTAGACAAGGCTAAGAAGGATTTAGAGTCAGCTACTGCCAAAGCGAATGGCTTGAGTGTTGATAAGGAGGTTCTCTCAAAATTTATGGCCGACAAGGATTCCCAAATTCAAAGGCTTGAAGCCGACTTTGAGGAGGCTAAAGCCGTGGTCGTAAATGCTGCCACCCAAGCCTTTGACAATGTCGTTGCTCAAGCTCGGGTTCTGAATCGTTGCCTTATTACTGATGGCATAGATGTGGCATATAATGTAAAGGATGACGCTATTGTTCGTGGGACTCCGGATTCCGAATATGCTGATGAAGAGGAGACCGGAGCCGAGGTTCATGTCGCTAACACTCCTTGTGTTATGGAATGAAGGGGCGGAATGCCGACTTTTATTTTGTACTTTTGTTATGGGTACTTTTGTTAGGTCGGCTTTAACACTGTGTATTGGTATTATTTATCCGAGATCGTTGTTTTGCTTCACCTTTACTTGTATGTTCGAGGTTCGCTTTCGATCTCGTATCATTCGACTTGCGATTGGCCGAGGTTTCATTCAATCGATCTAGGATTATGTTTTGTTCGTCAACAAAATTTTCATTCCTTTGTTTGATCGTGAAGCTCTTATGGCTTCAATTACTTGAATAGAAATCGATACACATTGATAACACAATTGAGGTCACTGCTCATTTTATTTGCATTTCAAAAGAAATCTATTTACAAGGCCGAGCTTAAGAGCTCGTTTTATTTGCTTTGAAATAAATCTACCTACTGACTGAGCTTAAGAGCTCGTCTTATTTTCGTAGAAATAAAGCTATCTATTGACCGAGCTTAAGAGCTCGCCTTCATCTCGAAAGTCGAACTTCAAGTCTAACTATAGTAGACCTTTAGCTTGTCCACGTTCCAAGTTATCTTTACTGGCTTCTTGGAGATAGTTTCCAAGGTATAGGCTCCCTTTCCCAAATTTTCCTTGACTTTGTAGGGGCCTTCCCAGTTTGCGACGAGCTTTCCATCTATGGCATTCTTGTTGCCGATGTCCGCTCTCCTTAGAACCAAGTCGCCACTTTGAAATGATCGTGGTCTGACCTTGTTATTGAATCTAGCAGTTACTAGGCGTTTCACCATCATATTCTTGTATCTGGCGTTCTCTCTGAACTCGTCCAGTAGGTCGAGTCCCACAAGGAGTGC